TGTCCTTAAGGGGTTAATGAAGCACAGTGGACCAACACCTGCAGATGACATGGCTTCCCAAATCAACACAGACTGTGGAAACTTCACACTGGACTTCAAGCATCTTGCAGTGTGTGCCTCCCCATTCTTCCTCCAGACTCTGGGTCCTTGGTTTCCAAATGAGATGCAGGTCTGTTTTTCTTTAGGCCAGGTAAGACTCTTCTGACGTTGTTTGTTGTTCAGGAGCGGCTTGACAAGAGGAATACGACATCTGAAGCCCAGGATCAGTCTGTGTGTGGTGGCTCTTGATGCACTGACTCCAGCCCCAACACATTTGAATGGCCTTTTCCTCACAATCCTCTCCAGGCTGCGGTCATCCCTGCTGCTTGTGCACCTTTTTCTTCCACACTTTTCCCTTCCACATAACTTTCTATTAATGTGCTTTGATATAGCACTTTGGGAACATCCAACTTCCTTCGCAATTACCTTTTGAGGCTTTCCCTCCTTATGGAAGGTGTCAGTGATGGTTTTTTGTACAACTGTCAGGTCAGCAGTCTTCCCCATGATTGTGATTCCTACTGAACCAGACTGAGAGACCATTTAAAGGCTCAGAAACCACCCTTTGCGGGTGTTATGGCTTACTTAGCTGATTAGAGTGGGACACTGTGAGCCTAGAATGTTGCACCTTTTCACAATATTCTAATTTACTGAGATTGTGGATTTGGGGTTTTCATGAGCTGTAAGCCATAATCATCGCACTTATGACAAATCACGGCTTGAACTATCTTGCTTTGCATGTAATGCGTCTATCTCATATATTAGTTTCCCCTTTTACGTTGCATTACTGAAATAAATGAACTTTTGTACGATATTCTAATTTTTCGAGTATCACCTGTACAGTGTATACTTTGTAACTTTCTGATAACTTTATATAACCACAAGATATGTTTAGTTATTAACGCTTCTTCTATAGAATTTAACTCTTGCAGATTTTTCGCATTGGCTTATTCCCTCTAGTCTATCCAATCTTTCCCAATACATTGTATTTTAAGGTACTACAGCACTTTTTACTAGAATATAGGAATTAAAATCATTCATTTGTGGTTTGTCAAATATGATCTATTAAATAGTGTCTCAAGTTTTATTGAATGTATTCAGACCTTACCCTGGATTAATTAGTCTTTAAATTACATTACTTAATTCACTTCACTTTTTTTTTTTTGGGGGGGGAGGGGAGGACACTCTGTATGTTATATATTTTTTTGGTTCTCAATTATTAATAAAGCAACATTTTGGTTTGCTATTACCTTTTGAATGATCTTTTAATTGGAGTTAATTTCAGTCAGGTCAGGTTTTACTCAGATATTGATGCTGGTTTAGTTTCTCTTTGAAGTCTCCTTAGATTATCTAACTGCAGAAAGTAACGTTGTCTTGTTTTGTTTTTCTCGTCACCCATTCTTTGACCACAAGGTGCCACTTGCATCTGCTCCAACATTGAGGACCGCAACAAACACCTAAACACTGTCTCAGTCGTTCATACAGAAAGGATCAAAATCAACAACCGTCAATAGGAAAATACACTCTAATTTACAAACACCACAAGCACCTGTACTACAATACAATGAGAAGGAAACTTCTACACGTGTACCTCTAGCTGTAACACATAACCTGACCCTTTACATGGAAATATATAACCTCAAAGGATCATTGTCCTTTACATCAAGAAGTGTGTACATAATTTAATGCAAAAAAATTGACCAGGACTGTTGACTGTTAACATTGGTGAAACCATCAAACAATTAAATGAAAGAATGAATATATATGGGCTGTGTACTTTCTACTGAATATATCCCACCCCTTGGCAGGTACCATTGTAATGATCTGTTATTCATTTAAACAGTCAGTGGTTTTAATGTTTGTGGTTGATCAGTGTATAAATGGGCACTTTGTGGACATTATTGTTCTTTGTTTCAAGTTTTGTTTTTTGACTTTATGAGAACACTTGGGTGAGGAGCTGCATATGCCATTTTAGATCAAGTGGTGTATAGCCAAGTCAATTTTTAAAGAGCCTTATACACACAAAAATAATATTGTTTGAGGGACATGACAAAGCGTTCAAGTTGTCTTTGACTTCAAATTCCCCAGATCTCAATCCAATTGAGTGTCTGTGGGATGTTCTGAAACCTTAAAACCGATCTATGGAGGCCTTACCTAGCAACTTAAAGGATTTTCTTCTAATGTCCTAATGCCAGATATCACAGGACGTGTTCAGAGGTCTTGTGCAGTCCATGCCTTGACTCAGAGCTGTTTTGGCAGCGTGAGTGGGACCTACAAGATATTGGGTAGATGGTTTTAATGTTGTGGATGATCAGCATATAACACCACAGCAATCCACAGTGCTATATCTCCCCTTAGGTTTCCTCCATGTCAGTACATTATCCCCTTTATGGATACACTTATAAGCCAGTGGTGAATATCTACAGAACAGAAACAAACATCAGATGACAAATCCTTGCGCAACACAATATATCTCTATCAATAGAAATGTGATTCTTGCCACTCACATGATGCAGAGCAGTGTACAGGCTCTGTGAACAACGCTCAGAGGTGCCCCCTACATAGGCTAAAATGCTCAAATCCCCGAGCAGAACATGAATAAATCAGCCAACTTTTGATGCAAGAGGTGAATAATTAGTTGAAAAAAAATATATATTTCAAAATATATAAAGGCATGGGACAGGCCACAGTGCAGACATCCAAAGTCACCCGGTAGACTGCCCATATTTAATGATGCTCCCTGACACCCGAAAACCATGTGTAATATCCTAGAAATCACACGCAGTCTGACATACAATGTATGTCAGATTGTGTGTGTTTGATTTCCAGGCTATTACATATGATAAATGCCCTCAATAACTGCCCCTTACCCTTTACTGATTACTTACCAGATGGGTATTGTTTCTGAATGAGGGCCCTGTTGGGTGTCGGCCACTTAAGAGCCTGACTGGGCCCTTGCAGTTTCTTTTCACACGCTGATTCAATGCTTTCCTATGGGGAAAAATCTGACACTGAAGGTCCTCATGCAGAGCGTAAGGACGTCCAGCGTCAGATAATGGACCAAAAGTCTGTTTCAATTCAGGAAGCTCTCTAGTGGCTGTCTGATAGACAGCCACTGAGGGCAGACTTAGAGTTGAAATGTAAACATTGCTGTTCTCTGGAACTGCAATGCTTAACATTGCAGCAATAGGTGCAAAAGGGACACAGCACCCATACCACTTCAATGAGCTGTAGTGGTCTGGGTGCCTATAGTGTCACTTTAAGTATTAGAGGTTACACAGTTCTTTAATATAAAGAACTAATATTAAATACATTAGCAGTTTTTCAAAAATGTTATTGTTTTTTTGAAGGCGAACCTAGAAGCTTAATAGGCATAGTTAACATAATTTAACATAATATAAATATCTGAAATAAATAGGTTTTATGTATTGCTATATATTGGACCCCGCAATCAAGTTAACAATTTCTCCCATGGAGTTAACTATCAGAACAAAGCTGTCTGCCTGCAAATTTTCTCCAACCAATTTGTGCAGATTGGGTTGTACCAAGTTTTCAAGAAAATAGCTGCTAATTCTAATTAGAAATGTATTTTAGCATTCAGTTTTGTATTTACATCATTTGACTCTGGATTTAAGCCATTCATTTACATATGGAGAGACTGAAATCCAGACTAAATTCTCTGATTCGCGGGTTGCATTGCAAAATTTGAACATTGGTAAATCTGAGAGCAACAACCTATTTTTTGTAGTCCAGGTGCCCATGGATGCTACTGCATATTTTTTAATTTCTTATGCTCACAAACATCATGGACGTGGACAGATGTTCTTATAACTGTTTTTGCACAGCAAAACATTCATCTGCCTTGCTGTATTACATTTATAAGTGTATAATTGTATAATTCAGTTTTTGGGTTACACAGACTACAGTGTTGTGGTGACAGAAGACTCCTGGGACCATAACCACACATACTCTAAACTGGTTAGGGTGCCTAGAATGCTCTTTTAAGATGTAGAATTGCAGCAACTATTTTTTAATACCAAATTCAGTATGCAAAAATGCAAGCTAATTATTTAGGATAGAAGCTATAAGATGCATCAAGATCATACTGGTGCCTAGTTTGTCTCTTTAAACACTCTGGGCATCATAACCATCTCTCTGAAGTGATGATGAATGCTGGAATGTCCTGGCACTATCCTTTTGTTCACTATTATTATGGTTTAGTTGAGAACTCGGGTCCCCGGACCTTGTAGTGTTTCCAATCAAGCTCTCAGCCTTCCTTGTTAACCTGAGCAGTGATAGACTCCGGCTGAAAAAGCGATCCTAATTCACAGTTAAACTATAAGTAAATGGTTTAACTGTGAAATGAGGAATGTGCCTGGACCCTTTAGACATCAGAACCAGGAATCAAGTAATTATAATGCCTGGGGGTTTCCTTTAAAATATATCAGCAGGTACAGAAAGAATAGAGAAAATTTATGACCAATTTACCGTAATTTTCTGTTCCTAGCTATTTCTCATGGCAGCATCACTTATGGGTAGCTCCTCCCTTTAGTTGTCACAGGACAGGAATAATTAGAATAATTTAACTGATAGGTATAAAAAGTCTCTCCTCCCTTTACACCACAGTAAAATTCTAAAGTTGATGAATGGGTGGGAACTCTGATGCTGGCATCTGAAATAGCCAAGAAAAGAAAATTACAGTAAGTTGGTCATACATTTTCTCTATTCCTGGCTAATCATGGCAGCATCATTTATGGGTAATATCCAAGTTTACAGAAAATAGGGTGGCGGAGTTTGGCCACCATCTTAGATGGCCATATTCTAGAGGAGCTCCTGGTGCAGGGGGACTTTAATACACTACAAACAACATTCAAAGCTGTGTATTAACTGAACATTGGAAGGGATACAGGAATAACTAGCAGACATGCAGAAACAAAAGAAAACCCGAAAAATCTGTTCCTGTAATGCAGAAAAAAGATGTTACAACTGCTGGGGTGAGTAAGGGCTCACAGGCCCAATCACCCACCACCAAATCCAGGCCGCAGTTTATTTCGCCGCTAAAATCTCCTTTAGGAGCCTCGGGAAAACCTAATTATCCCACCCGCCAGTCTTTTCAAACTCGCACATATACGAGCGCAGCCGCGGCCCGCTCGCACAGCCCTCTTAGCGGCGGGACCACGGCTGCTATTGTCGCAACCTCCGTGGGCGAATCAGTGAGCTCCAAGTGCTTGGAACGCTTGGAGTGTCGAGACGAGTCTCTTGCGAGCGGCTTAACAGGTGCAGAAAGCCGCTCGCGCCAAAACAATAAAACGGCTAGGTCGCTAGTATATAAAAGCGGCCGGGCCACAGAAGAAGGGAAAGGGGGCATGAGGTCACGCTCTCCGTCGAGGTCCTTGGCCTCACGGCTTGTGACACCGGCAGGGGGGACCTTTCCCTCCATAATGTTGGACAAGGAAAAAGAGAGAACTGCAGATAGCTCAGAGGACTTTATTGCAATGGAGGAAGAAATAAATTTAACTGCTTATTCTGCCCTTCCACAAAGGACAAGGTCTGATGCCACTACTAAGATGGCTACTGTGGACACTTATTCCAATGATCATGCCACAACTAAGATGTCTGCTACAACATGTTTAACTACTTCCACAAACAAGATGGCCGCTGCCACATCTGAGACAACTGATGCCTCAACCAAGATGACTTCCACAAGTTTCAAAACAATGACATACAAGCCTAACGTGCCACTTGAATTGGCTGAAGATTTGCCACCATCAGCTGGCATGATTATACAGCTAATACAGAACTTAAGGATAGATCTAAAAAAATGACTTTAGGAAAGATTTTGACACCATGTATGAAGCGTTAGATACTATTGGTCAACACACAGAGGAAATTGAACATAGATTGACGGTACAGAAGGAATCTCATTTAGACCTGGTCAACACCGTCAAGGAACTTCAAAAGCAAGTTAATCAACAAACTGCAAAATTGGCTGATTCCGAAGACAGTAGCAGGCGCAACAATTTAAGAATTAGGGGGATCCCTGATAATGTAGACACCACGGATTTACTAAGCTATTTCCAGACAATGGGAAAAACAATCTTGCCAAAAGCAACCAATTTGGATATAATAGTGGACCGCATCCACAGGCTGCCAAAACCTAGCAATGCCCCTGTGATGGCACCAAAAGACACCATTGTAAGACTCCATTTTTTTCGCACAAAGGAAGACATTTTGAGCACAATACGCACAAAAGGTCTACCTGAAGAATACAAAAATGTTAAAATTTTACAGGATTTCTCTGCTTATACGATGAGATGCCGCATGGAATTTTGACCATTTACAACAGAATTGAGACAGAGAGGGATCCGATATAGTTGGGGTTTCCCAGTAAAAGTGATCTTCCATATGGATGGCAGAAATTTTATAATTACATCAAACGAAGAAGGGATGGATCTTATTAACCCCTTAACGCCGTTACGGCGTTCTATGCCGTCACGGCTTTAAAGGGCTTTAAAGCCATTGCTTTAATCTACTCTAGATCTACTCACCTCCGCCGCAATCCTCTTCTGGAGGGCTGCCTGACAGCCCAGGCAGCACTCCCCCGGCAAATGAGGCCGCCGGGGGCCATGTGATCGCTCTCAAAGAGCGATCACATGGCCCACTATAGCTGGCTGTGGAACTGCCAGCAGGGGGACTGTCTAAAATATCAGACAGTCCCACTGCTGGTAGGTAGTGTAAAAAAAAAAATTAGACATGTTTAAAATTAAATTAAAAGTATTTTTATATATATATGTATGATCCTGATGAAAGTCCACAAGATGGACTGAAACATTGATCTGTTTTAAAAGTATCTGGAATAAAAGTAAATTTGTATTGAAAATCCGTGAGTGCAGCCACACTACCTGATTATATGGATACTCAAGCCCTGGTAATGCACCCGGTTTGTCAAGTTTGAAGCCTGTGTGCAAGGTACAGTTTAATATTTTTTTATATTATATATATATATATATATATATATATATATATATAATATATACATATTATATATATCTAACGTCATACAAAGTGTATTTTAATACTAATATTAGTATATATATTAATATCAAAAGACACTTAGAATGATGTTACATATATATAATATGTATATATATTATATATATAATAGATATATACAAGAAATCAACCTATACAATACAATCTCCAATTTTCAAGTCAATTTCTCAAAGAGCGAAATACTATCACTCCAGATTGCCCCCTCTTCAAGCACCTACCTACAAGCTAAATTCCCATTCAAATGGGCAGATAAATCCATCACATACTTGGGAATCCGCCTCTCAGCAGATTTATCCTCCTTATATGCCCTGAATTACGACCCACTGTACCAAGCCATAGCAAACGATTTACAAGCCTGGCATAAACCGCAATTCTCATGGCTCTGTAGAATTAATATTCTTAAAATGAACTCCCTTCCTAAGATACTCTACCTCTTCCAAACCCTACCAATAGCTATACCCAAGTCCTTCTTCAATAAGCTTAGGGAACTATTCACTTCCTTCATTTGGGCACACAAACAACCTAGAATCCCATATGAGGTTCTCACCAGACACAGATCATGTGGAGGACTGGCCTCCCACACATGGAACGATACTACAAGGCAGTCACTCTTACTAGGATATACGACTGGACCGAACACCCACCGACACGACAATGGGTAGTCCTCGAAAACGCGGTAAGCCAAGTACCTCTCTTTACACTCCCATGGCAGAGAACTACTCCCGCAAAACTACTTTCATACTGTGACGCCCATCCCACCATTTCACCCACACTTAGGACGTGGACAAACATGCGAGAGGCTTGGAACATTTCCCCACACCCATCCCCCCTCTACCCCATCACATACAACCCACTCTTCCCCCCCAGGAATGCAACCAGGGACATACCAACGATACAACAACCTGCTGGACACCCCCTACCTGACACTAGGCTCAGTGGTAGAAAAGGACTCAATACGTACACTGAACAGTCTGATGAGCCCCGAGGTCCCACACACATTACAAATGTTTCACTACGCACAGCTGACTCACTTTCTGAGAACCAATGCAACCCTGCTCAAGAGCCCCCGCACACTATCAGACTTCGAGACACAATGTCTAACCCGCAACGTCAAAACGAAACAGTTATCGACCTTCTACAAAACCCTACAGGTAGATCATGGCACCCACCTACCCCCCTTCACTGATACCTGGTCAACAGACCTGAACATACAGATCACGATGCCACAATGGCAGACTGCCCTCTCACAAATCCACAAGGCATCCATATGCACTAAGATACAAGAAGGAGGTTACAAGAGAATATCCAGATGGCACTATTCCCCGTCCAAAATCCACAGCATCTTCCCAAGCACACCAGATGTCTGCTGGAAATGCTCCCAACCTCAGGCGTCCCTCGCACACATCTGGTGGCACTGCCCGCTCACGCAAAAGTATTGGAAGAACATAGTTAAAATGATCACCACGATAACGGGATCCCAACTTCAACATACCCCACACACTCTGCTATTTCTAATCCTACTTACCTACCTCAACCCCCAAGGTACAGAAAACCCTTTTGACACATCTCCTGACTGCAGCCAACTTTCTCATCCCGGTAAAATGGAAAAATCCTGAACTCCCCACAATCAGGGAATGGGTAACCAAAGTAGAATCAATCAAAACCATGGAAGAGATCCATGCCTCCATCACGCACAGATACACACTTTTCAGGGACACATGGGACCCCTGGGTGAAATTCCTGGCAGGAGACCCTATCTGATCCCCTGAAATGCGCAATCTCTCGCACGGAGCTCCCACACTGTAAAGGCCCCTGGGCACATAAGTAAGCAAAGACACCAAGAACACATAATCACCCATAATGATCTGGCTGAGCGACCACACTAACACACGGACTACGGGACAACCAACACAGCAACATATCACATATACCGACAGGGGACCTGCACCAAGACTGACCATAGCCGAGATAGAAATAACACATACGCAAACAGGCAGAAAGGGGAGGACTATTCAAAACACCATGCCACTTCATGACACTACACTCATTAACATTCACAGCGCAGATCTAGAACACCCTCCCTGAGCCAACGACAGGGCCAGGTTGAGAACAAGGTCCAGTCTTGGTCTACACCGGGTTACGAGTCTCAATATGTTGTTCCAGATTCTGGAGCTCTGCTGACAAATGTATGCTTCCTGCTAAACTCCTCCTACTTAACACCGCATTTACCCTAAAATGCACCAACCTAAAAATGTATTATACTAACAGAATGTCAATTGTCACCCTGATGTAACTGAACACCCCCCCTTCCCTTCTTCCCCTATATACCCCCCTCTGACCCGATTGTGACCAGTCATCTACTACGTTTAATTTATGTTATCGGATTTACCACTGGTCTGTAGACAAAGTTTATGTTCCTTGTACCTGTACTCACTACTAACGCAAATCACTACTGCCGATATATTTAATGTTTTAGCAAACTGTAAATGTGAAGGCATAGCCAAGCTCATCACCAAACACTTTGTGACCTCACGGCCTAATTAAAAACAAAATTGTGCTAAACCGAATGTATACCCCACTGTAACTATTGTATGAAGCACATGGGGATTGCCTTTGGGGTACCCCATGCAATGTTTGTTATCACATATGCACTGCAAAAAAATAAAAATAAATAATAGATATATACACATATATATATATATACGTATAATTACAATAATAAATAAATAAAATATTGAAACAAAATTTAATATAAATTATATATTTATATGTAATTTCATTCTAACTGTATTTTGTTATTTATTTTATATATATATTGGTAACAAAATACACTCAGAATGACATTCTATATATATCTATCTATATATAAAATACGAATAACCGCAAATATATATATATATAGATAAATACATATAATTACATAAAAGATTACATTAGTATACACGTAGAATTTAAATACCTATAAATGCATATATATTAAAATTCTACCTGTATATTTAAGTAATCTTTTAACATAATTATGTGATTTGATTAATTAAAATTTGATTGACATGCCTGACAACACAGGGAGAAAGTGCAGAGAATTAAATTCGCAAGCACTATATTTGACACTGTAACTCTCCAAGACACCATAAAACCTGTACATAGGGGGTACTGTTTTACTCAGGAGACTTCGCTGAACTCAAATATTAGTGTTTCAAAATGATAAATTGTATTACAACGATGATATTTTAAGTAAAATTGAACTTTTTGCATTTTTTACAAACGAACTGCACTTTTATGGACTATATTATTGTTGTAATATGTTTTATTGTTTTAAAACACTAATATTTGTGTATAGTAAAGTCTCCCGAGAATAACAGTACCCCCCATGTACAGTTTTTATTGTGTTTTTGGAAAGTTAGAGAGTCACATATAAGGCTTGCATTTAATTTTTTTGACATTTTGAAATTTGCCAGATTGGTTCTGTTGCTTTTGAGAGCGTATGGTAGCCCAGGAATGAGAATTACCCCCATGATGGCATACCATTTGCAAAAGTAGACAACCCGAGGTATTGCAAGTGGGGTATGTCCAGTCTTTCTTAGTAGCCACTTAGTCACAAACATTGGCCAAATATTAGTTTTTTGCTTTTTTCACACAAAAACAAATATGAACGCTAACTTTGGCCAGTGTTTGTGACTAAGTGGCTACTAAAAAAGACTAAACATACCCCACTTCCAATACCTTGGGTTGTCTACTTTCTCATATGGTATGCCATTATGGGGGTAATTCT